TGGGCATGTAACTTGTTCAGTGCCTGTTGGGTGGGAAAACACACAAATGTTTAAGTTACAAATCTCTGAATTTTCAGGGTGAGCTTAAAAAATACTTGGCTTTACACACAAAGTGTTGATTTAATCCTTTTCTTGAATTTTCCTTTAGCACTGGGCACAGACAGTTCCCCACAGAGTAACCCTTGCGTGCACATTAGGGGACCTTGAGGCTCACATCGTCTTTGTGTGAAGACAGTGCAAGGCCAGGTAGATGGGGAGAGGGGTTGGATGCAGAGTTCAGTTGTGGGGACACAATAGGAAGGCCAGGGCTTTTCATGTGAAACATTTGGGTGAGAGTTGAAGTAAGAAATTCACTGTATATTTTGAAAATACATACTTGTCAATGCTGCTGATGTGAAGAAATTAAGTTAAATAATTAATGTTGAATGAGACAGACATTTTATAGCAATTATTATGGCATTTGAAACTAATGTTTTTAAAATTAGGTAGGGCCATGGAGGAGGTATTTTATCTTAACATAAAAGATTGTCTTAGACACATTCTAAGTGAAGAAATCTAGATAAACAAATCTAAGTCATTTTAAGGACTAAAATAGAAGTATTGTATATCAAAGTAATTTTTTGCTTTTCATTAAACATTTTTATTTTGTCAGAGAGACATGATTTAATTATTTCATATTTTATAACATTATAGCTATCTATATATATTCAAACATATATAATAAAAGTAATATATATATTAATAGATATGTATATTAAGTTATAAAAAACTTGTTTTTTTTTAAAGCTACCATGTAATATCTGAAGCTTTGGGTTCTTATAAGGAATTTAACCTCTCTTTAGTTTATTATGATTTTTAGTAATAATTATGCTTATTTTTTTAATATATTTTATTGATTTTTTACAGAGAGGAAGGGAGAGAGATAGAGAGTTAGAAACATCGATGAGAGAGAAACATCAATTAGCTGCCTCCTGCACATCTCCTACTGGGGGTGTGCCCGCAACCCAGGTACATGCCCTTGACCGGAATCGACCCTGAGACCTTTCAGTCCTCAGGCCGACACTCTATCCACTGAGCCAAACCGGTTTCGGCTTTTAAAATATGTTTTACTGATTTTTTACAGAGAGGGAGGGAGAGGGATAGAGAGTAATTATGCTTATTTATAACTGTTCAGTTGATATAGGAAGGGAAATTTATTAGTAGGTAAGGCACACAGAAGTGAACAAAACTAAATATGATGGAAGACAATTGCAATGTGTTTACTGAAAGAATCTTTGATTTTAGATAGAAGATGTTGGACAAATTCATAGGCATATGCATGGAATTTTGATTTGTGAGACTATTTTCTTGATTGGACAAATCATATTTTAAGTTGTTTTAACCACTGATTTCCAATGTATTTGAATTCTGGGGTGGGGTGAAATGGATGCTTTTCAAATGATTTAGAATTATCATGTGTGCTTTGCTTAGATTTCTTTTTTCATAAACCCAGGAAGTGACAACTTTTCTTTAAAACAGATAATTATGCCATATTTTTAAATTCAAGGTGAAATCTTTACCTAAATCTATCTATATATATAAAAGCCTAAGTGACTGTTTGACTGGTAGCTATGATGCACACTGACCACCAGGGGGCAGACACTCAATGCACAGGCATGAAAACATGGAACAGACTGATGAATCTCAGAGGCAAGCGGGGAAGGGGGAGGGGGGGAAGAGATTAACCAAAGATCTTATATGCATACTAGAGGCCCTGGTCTGCAGGAATGGGGCCGAAACTGGTGCTCCAACATTCCCTGAGGGGTCCCAGATTGTGAGAGGGCGCAGGCCAGGCTGAGGGACCCCACTGGTGCACGAATCTGTGCACCAGGCCTCTGGTGCTTTAAAATGTTTTCTCTAAGTAGTCTGTAACTCTCCTTTCTATTGTTGGCATCAGGTAGAGTCTGGCTGGCAAATATGATGTGCAAACCATGGACCTCTCCCCTGAAGGCAGCCACTGGGATTGGTCCACAGGGCCAAGTTAGGTCTCTAGCTGATCTCACTGTGGCCTGGTGGCTGGCTGTATTCTGGGAATCTTACATTTGGTTTTGATTGAACACAGCAGGTATTGATGCTGGAGGCATGTAAGGCCTAACTGGACATGGAGCCTGTGGGGGCTGGCAGGGAAGCCCTCCTCTCTCCCAGCTCCATGGCCCTGCCAGCCAGCTCCAGAAAGCCTGGGTAAATCTTCAGTTTCTAATTTTCTCAGGGTTTCGGGGCTAAAAAGATGCCTAGAAAGCATATGTGTTTCTCTGCTCAGAAAATCCCAGGATCTCACAATCCATATGTAGAAGAGGTTGATAGAAGATTATCTTCTGGAATCTTCCAAAAGGGTCTGAGAAGCATCTTTGGAGCGCAGAGAACTGAAGGATAGAAGCACAAGAGATATTTTCTGCACTCATTTGTTTTAGTTGAAAAGAAAGACTGACACAGGACAGCCCTGGCTGACTGTGTAGATGGTGTCACTGAATATCTAATTTCTGATCTGCAGCTTGGCACTACTGGAGGCTAGATAGCTGACTCAGGGTGAGTACCTTCAGATACCTCAAGAAAATGAGGTCACCCAGTTGGTTGCTAACAGATCTTTCTTTTGTAAGTGGAGTGGGAAGAAGAAAATTGCTTGGTCATTGATCACTCATTTTTATACACTAGTCCCTGGATGCATAGGGATAGAGGGAAGGTGGCCATGACTTTGACTCTGACCCTTGCACTAGTCTGTATATATAAAAGCCTAAGTGATGAGCTGCTCAGCAGACCGGCCGGTAGCAATGACATGCAATGACCACCAGGGGAGGGCAGATGCTCAATGCAGGAGCTACTGAGCTGCAGTGACTTGGCAGCTGCAGTTCTTGGGTGATACACCCGGAACCAGAGAGGAGGGAGCCCGATTCTGGGTTGTGTCACCTGAGAACTGCCTTCTCGCAATCTGGGACCCTTTGGGGGATATCAGAGAGCTAGTTATGGCCCAGTCCCCACAGGTCAGGCTGAGGGACCCCACTGGTGCACGAATCCATGCACCTGGCCTCTAGTGTGATAATAAATTGATAAATTGATACTACCTAACAGTTATTGAACTAGGTTCTTTAGCACTCAGATATATTAATCCATCTAATCTTTACAACCACCTAATGAAGTGGGCACCAAGGTGATCCCTTTTTCACAAATGAGAAAACAGAGACAGAGAAAAGATCAGCACCTTAACTAGGATCACAGGTTTGCTAAGAGCAGAGCCAGGTTTGATCCAAGCATCTGACCCAGGAGTCTGCTTCTATGTGATATAGGGCTCAATGGTCACATGGGAGGGGCTGGGAGAGCATGAAAAGGAAAGCAATTCTCAGACAAAGGAATGGCCAGAGTCTGCGGTCATTGCCTGGGGAATGGGTAATAAATAAAGAAAACTCGTGTTTTTACCAGGGTAGGGTTGCTGAGGCCTCATCTTTTAGAATTAGCACTTCCTGTGTTGGTCAGCAGAACCCTGGTTGGCGGCCCAGGAGGGTTGGGAGTGTGAGGGAGAAGCATCGTCCTGGTGGGGATGGCTGGATGTGCTCGGACATCCTGTGGCCTTGACAACTCAGTTTCAGGTGGCTTCAAAGATCATCACTTAGTAATCCCATGATCTAAGCAAGGGCTCAGAAACTGTTGGAGTCTGAAATTAAAATCCAGTTCTTTTAATAGGAAGAACACGGGTGGAACTGAAGATGTCTGTGTGGTTCAGAGGATATGTTACTGAGTTCAGGCTGAAAGGACCAAGGAGGACAAGAAAAACATCTTCTCAGGACACACATGATAGAGAGTGATGAGGACCAGTAGTAAATAGTGTTAGGGAATGAGATCCCAGCATAAACTGAGGCTATTGAAGGGAGCAGAGGAGAACAAAGGGCTCATGTTGGTTGGGAGCACAGAGAACAAAGGCTGCATAGACCCACTGGCTGCCAGGGCAGCTTGTCATGGAAGAAGAAAGAGGAAGGCGCAGCTTCAGTTTGCCGTCTCCCAGTTTGAAAGGGCATTGGTGGGAAAGGAGGAGTGAGGCAGTGCATGTGGTCTGTGCATGTGGTCGCCTGCCCCAGAACTCCCTGGCCAGAGCATGGAGTGACCCTAGAGATGACATCACATTTCTGCAGAGGTCATCTGAGAGGCCTTGGGGTACAAGACAGAGGTGCATGGAGCCTGGAGCTGGATGAGACTCAGTGTCTGATGCTGACTTGGAAAAGCGCCTGGGAGTCTGTCAACAAGAAGAGATGAGCAGTAGAGGTTAGCAGGGGCTCACTGGACAAGCCATGTCAGACTCGCATCACTTTCCATCTGAGAAGCTCAGATCTGGTGACTGGCACACAGAGTGGCCTGGGCTTAGATGGGGCCGCAGCAGAATTTGGCAGGACATTCTCTGCACTTGCCTGAGTGATCTTACCCAGCAGCGCAGACACATGGGAGAGTGGTGACCCTCAGGGGGGGGCTGAGTCATGCCGAAAGTCCCCGTCAGCATCTTCATTTGCTTTTTTGCTTCCTCTTCCTTTTCCTGCTCCTCCTCATTATTATTTTTATGTTATATCATCTCCTTTTCTTCTTTCTTCTTCTCCTCATTATTAAGATCTGTCTTGTAGCACTGATGGAAAGTGAAATTGGTTGGATATCTAACAGCAGTGAGCCGAGTCCGGATCCACAGTGTCTCAAAAAGCTGGAGGTGCAGCGCTGAGCTTAGCAGCCTGGTATTGGGCAGACTGAAGATGAACGCAGTTGAGTTGGGACAATGCAACTTTCCTCAGATGGTTGCTGTGAAAAGTCCATGAAGTAAAGTGATTGAGCCTCTGGCACAGAGACACTTATGTAGCCAATAAACAATGATGTCAATTTTTATATCATGAAGGATCCTGGTAGCAAAATATTCCATCCTGCAGTCAGACCACATATCCAAAAGTTCAGTGCTGAGGGGAGGGTTGTCACGTCCGTGGCTCAGGGCACTCTGGACAAGTCTGGCAACAGGGTCCACACATCTGTGGTTGGCAGAGGCCACCTGAGCGGGAAGGAGCCCAGTGGGGGTGTCTGCAGAGGAATGCGCGGTGCAGCAGGACCACAGGGAGGCATTGACAATACTGTCCACAACAAAGTAAAATTAAGTTAAATCAAAAAAGAAGGGCTCAGATCCCCTGGAAGCACAGTTTGGGGTATGTGAGCTGACATGGGTCGTGCAGCCAAAGCGGGTTTTGGGGACACACTCTTGGGTTTCAACCCCAGCTGCACCTCCTACTTTCAGGGAACTTCAGGCAGGGTGTGCAGCTTTCCAAAACTTGAGTCCACTTGTCTGTGAAAAGGGTGAGGATGGAAGGAGGTGACACGTGCACAGCACCTATCGTGGACTCCTGCCCCCAAGATGGAGGGAGGAGAGAGTGCCCGCGCGTCCTTTCCATGTGGGCATGAGGCAGGGCTGGAGGAAGCAGCTGACATGAGCCCACATGGTATTTATGCGTAACAAGCCCGCGCCAGTGCCCGTGAGGAAGCTCAGCGCCTGCGGTCAGGTCCTCCTGGGCCTGCGGAAATCGTTTCTAATATGAAAACTTGGAGTGTGGCCCAGCAGCACTGCTTGCTGGCTGAGCGGGTGTTGAAGATGGGTTTCCCCATTTCTAGAACTTGCTGGTGGAGCTGATGAGGGAAAGGCAGGGAAGAGTGCCTCCCCAGCCGGGCGGAGGGCACCCTCTCCTCTTCAGTGCCATCCTCACATATGCCACCGCTTACGTCCCCTCAAAGCCTCGAGAGCCTGCGGAAGCTGGTCCATCTGAGCGTGCCCAGCGAGTGGGCACAAGAGGACAGCTGCCAGTGGCCAGATGAGCAGAAGAAAAGTAAGTGGATTAAGGTGAGGAGAACCCAGTGTTGGCACTTTCAGGGAGGGGAGACAGACGGGAGAGACTCCCACTAGTTCCAGGGGAGGGACCAAGCACAGAGGAGGCTGACCCCCCAGGTGTAGTAGTGGAAGCCAGGTACAGCCCCACACTCTCCCTGCCATGCCTGGGTATTTATTGCTTCAGCTTTTATCTCTCTGGACGCCTGTACCCGCAGGAGCTTCTGTCCCCAGGTGCTTAAAGTTCTTGGCATTTCTGAGGATTTGGGGGGGATTGGCATGCTGTGTAACAAGAAATGCAAACTGCCCTAAATCAGCATGCACACATGTTGGAGCTGCCCACAAAGTCAGAGCTGGCTGGTGGATGCCTTGTGCGCTCTGTTAATGCAGTCGCTGCTGCCTGGATGCTGACAGGTGTGGAAACAGTACTGAGTCACGCCTCTGGGTGGCAGCATTGTGCAGTATTGTCCTCCCCTGATGGACAACTGGAGGTGAAAGCAGGTGGCATAAAGCTCTGAGACTGGGTCAGTGTGGCATCTATAGTAGTCGGGATTCTTTGGATGCAAACACCTGCCTGTTGCTTCCTCTCTCTGCAGAGGCCTGTGGTCCAAGTGTGGCTGGCCCACCAATGGGGAGCTCTCCAATCTCATAGCTCTTCCCTGAAGATGACACCTGTGGGAGTGTCCACCTTGCTGAGCTGTCCCAGGTCCCACTAGTCCGCATGGCTGCTGGAGAGGGGGTCCTGCAAACCCGGGGCTGCAAGCCGGTGCTGCTGGAACCAACAGAGCACCCGGGCTCCAAGGCTGCCCTCAGCGGTGGCGGCCAGGAGGAGGCAGGTGCGGAGCTGGCACGATCAACACCCCCAGGCGAGCTGAGACTGGGAAAAGCACTGGCCCGGACGGTGCGCTGGGAAGGAGAGCAGAGCGCCTTCATGGAGATGCCTCATCTCAAGAAAAGGCTACAGGGCATGTGGGCCAAGGAGAGGGAGCATGATGACTCCACAGGCCAGCCTGGCCCTCGGCAGCTTACGCAGGGCATCCCTAGGGACCCAGCTGGCAGCACAGTCTTCTCCGAGTGGCCCAGCAGCGCGGGAAGGGAGCAGAGAAGTGCCTTCAGCAAACCAGCCAGGTGCCCATCAGGGAGACCTGGGCCGGCCTCTCTCTTCCGGGCAGGCAGACCTGCAGATGCCCTGGGGGAGCTGGTGGGACCCAGGCCAATAGTAGACATCCCTTGCTGGCCTAGACGCTCCAATTCCAAGGTTTCGGTGAGTGATTTCTGGAACCTGCGGATGCTGCCACAAAATGCTGCTCTCGGCAATGCTTCCGCGGGTGCCCCCACGCTGTGGCTAAAGCGTGCCATGGCCCAGATACCCACAGCCTCCGCTCCCTCCTCGGTCTCCTGGGCCCTCCTCCCATCCGCATTCACGCCCCTGGGCTTGGCCACCCAGAACTGGTGCGCAAAGTGCAACCTCTCCTTTTGCCTGACCTCTGACCTGGTTTTTCATATGCGGTCCCACCACAGAAAGGAACGTGCGGGGCCGGACCTGCATTCGAAGAAGCTGAGAGAGGAAGCACTCATGTGCCCCATCTGCCGAGAGTACTTCCGGGAGCGCCACCACCTCTCCCGGCACATGACTTCTCACTGCTGACAGGTGGCTGTGGGCTGGGCGTGGCAAGGAGCGCGGCTCCCCGGGGCGCCGCGCAGAAAGCTGTCCGCAGCGCCTGCAGGGCGTCTGCTTTGGGATGCGTCCACGAACGGCTCTGTCATAACTGAAAGAGGGAGGCCTTGGCTGGGATGTGTTTTGAAGTAAACTCATGAAATAAAGTGATGCGCTTTGCTAACCCAGGGTGTTGGGACTACTGGGCGCAAAGTGCTTCCACCATCTTTCAGAGGGGGGCCGCTCTGGCACCACGCCCGGGCTCCATGGAGCTGCGTTAGGCATGCAGCACAGGCTTTGGAGACAGACAAGCCTGGATTTGAGTCTCAGCCCTTTTACATACCAGACCTGCCCTTGAACAAACTGTTCTATCTGCCTGAGCCCCAGTTTTCTTATCTGTGAAACGGAGATATGACACGTGTGTTTTTGGGTGTTGTCAGGGTTACATGGAAAGACGTGAGGACAGACGCCAGCACAGCCTGGAACAGTGTGATCACTGTGTGAAGGATGCTTATTATCATTGTCCGGATTAGTCAGCTGTTGCTACGTAACAAAATCGAAGTGACCAACAGCCCAGAGTATCGATTTCCCACCCGCGGGTCTGTGGGTTGGTGGGGTTGGGCTGGTCTTTTCCGGGCTCTGTCTCTGGAACTGATGGGCTACCCAGATCATGCTTCTCTCGTGGTCACACCAGAGCACAAGAGGGCATGTCCACTTCCTGGGTCACTTCTGAGAACATCTCTTTGGCCAAAGCAAGTCAGTGGCCAAGTTCAAGGTTAAGGAGTGAAATGTGCATGCTGCCATGTGGAGCCAGGCGGAGCGAGTGGGTGTGTCACCTACCACAGGAGCGTGAAGACTGGGGTCAGTAGTTCAGCCATGGTTCTCCACGTTCTGCATCTGTGGCTCTCAGGAAGGGAGCGTGTTCCAAAGCTCAAGGCTTAACATGTGAGCAGCGGGAGGGTTCTGGGTCCCATGATCTCTTCTGCATTTCCATGTTCGTCCTTGCAAACACCAGGCCACCAGGCCATAAACGCCGATGGCATGCAGGCTGGTTTCCACTTTACTTTCCAGATTTCTTCATTTGAGCTGCAGCTTGCAGCCCTCTGGTGGGGCCTCCATCATAGAGTCAGGCTTGTGGTTGGAAGGATCTAGTGGGGGTACCATGGGGAGCACGCCTAAATCAGACCTGTGGGAAGCGGGGTGTGGCATCCCTGGAGGCCTTCTGAGGAGTGGGGGGGCGGAGGAGGAGCATGAACTGAGCCTGAAAGTCAGCAGTGCTGGTGATTTAGACAGGGAGGGCAGTGGCTGGAAGGAGGGTGGTCAGAGCGCAGAGGCGCCAGGGTGCCATAAGGCAGGCAGGAGGACTGCGTGTGGGAGGCAGCCCTCAGAGAAGATGGAGATGCACGAGAGCCTCGAAAGAGAAGAGTCTGGACCAGACATGGAGGTTCGGCTCTGAGAAGCACTGGGAGGGGGCCTCTGGCCTCAGTTGGAAGGGAAGGATGGGCTGGAGGAGAGGAGAGCCCCCCCCCCCCCCCCCCCCCCCCGCCAGGCCTTCCCTTTGCATCTGAAAGGAGCCCTGTGCTCCCTACAGGCACCAACAGAAACCTCCTTTCTCACAGGGAGGCTTGGAGGAAAGGCCTGCAGGCCAGCCCCTTGGACAGCCAGCCGTGTGGGGGCAGAATTTGCCCAGAGAGACTGACGCTGCAAGGAGCCCTCCTCTGCTGTCCCAGGTGGGCAGAAGGGGCCCCTTGCAGGTTTGGACCTGAGGCTCCACTCTGTCATTCCAGGCTTCATTTCTTCCACATGAGGTACCCAGGAGGGAGGTATTTAATACCCATTTTACTGCAGAAGAAACTAAACTGCAGGAGGTTAACTGACTTTCCTAAGACCATGGGTGCAAGGACAAGACCCCAGGACCTCCTCACGCTGAGCTCACATCCTTCCTCGCCTGCCACACATCTGCTCCGGGAGCTCATATGTCCTTGAGGATGCTTTACAAACTAGGACCAGACATTGACTTCAGCTTGCCCCCTGCCTGCCCCCACTCACCTTCCTGTTGCCTTTCTCTTTAGCGCTTTTCACCAGCTTGCATGCAATCTGTCTTGCTGGCTGTGTCCTATCCATAGAGTGTGAGCTCCATGAGTGCTTTGGGCACTGCTGTTTCCCCAGAGCAGAGCGAGGCAGGCACATGGCAGGCGCTCAGCAGGCTGCTTCCGCCTCACTGCTCACAAAGTCACATCAGCTTCTCACCGAGTTTGGACCTCTGTCAAATGGCGTGCACAGCCATCCTCCTCTGGCTACTGGATTGGTCCATCATTTCTGTGAAATCACTTTGAAAGGCATACATTCATTATAGGAAGATAAAATAGACATTTGGAATCGAGAGTGTAGAATTCTCATCCATTCCCTCGCTTCACAGCAGTAAGCACTGTCGCCTGTGCATAAGCTGGCTGCAAAGTATTGCAGGGCACGTGGTGGTGAGGGGTTCCCAAGGCCAGGGTTCCCGCGGCAGCAGGGAGGCCCAGTCTGGCATCTTCCTGGCCGGCTGGACTCAAGGAGCCACGGCTGTGGCCTCCAAGGGAATTATTACTAACAGTGGCCGCACCACTCACAAGCAAGGGAGGCATTTTGAAAAAAAGTAAATTAATTAAAGCGAATTAGCTTAATTAAACTTAGGAAGAAGCACAATAAAACACCTTACTCCAACTCAGTTTTTAAGATGGAATTCAGTTTGATAAAAATTGACTTTGAAGATGGACTTTATTTTGGTAAAAATTGATGTTAATGCAAGTTGCTTTGCCGACACTTAAATTGACAAATTGGAAGAAGACTTACAGAGGTGATGACTTACAGCTTATGAAAGTGGCAGTTACTACTCGTCACCAGCTGGGCTCCCAAAGTCCTCTTGACAGTTGAATCTTGTCTCGTCCATTCTTCTCTCCTGCTTTCCTTCATCTACTGGAGAGGAGTCACTTTTAATTGTGACTTTGCCCAAGCACCTCTGCCACCTTCTGGACCATTAAGTGTTGGCTGGTGATGTTGCCACAAAACATCACATCAGCAGGTATGACTTTTCTCCACAAGCCTTGGGTGAAAATGGCTAAATTCCTTAAATTCTCTAAGTCAAATTAATCTCTGCACCCCAACCTGCTGGCTGTGGTGGGATATGCAATCAGTCTTTTGGAACTCCCTCTCCCGCCTCTCAAGTTCAGAGAAAGTTCCCCCCACCCGCACCTAAGCAGGCAGCTCTTTTAACATCATGCCGTCTCCCCACACTGCCTGGTGGCTTTGCCACTATTTCCCAGTGTGCTCTGTCTTTTCTCCTCCTCCCTTGCCCCCCAGGTCCTGGGTCTTGGTGGTTTTCTGGCAATGCTGTCATTAGGTAACACAGAAGCCACCACGTCAATGAACAGAAAAGCTTGGCCAACTTCTTAGGCAAGGAGAAGGAAAATAGCTACAGTGGCTAGAAAAATGGCTAGTTATATTCTAGTAAACTACTTCCCAGCAGCCATTCAGTTATGATTTATCAAAGTCCAAAAATGTGCAAATGAGGCTAAAATAAGACATTTTGAATTCAGACCCATTTTATTTCTCAATTTTAACCAAGATCTGCTTTTCTTTCTGTTTTTATCTAGAAGAGAAGTAAAACCTTTGTAAGTCTGGGATCCTGGATTTTAACTTTTGGCCAATTTCTGGCTGTGGATTCTCTTTAAATGACTATATATTAGGTTAGTGAAAGTGAGTGAGTCCTGCCCGAGTTGGGGCAAGAGGGGGGAAAGTGAGGAAAGGCAGCCCCGACAGCCTGCAGCTCAGATGTCCTGGGTAAAGGCTCAGCAACAGGCCAAGTGCACGCCAGAATCAGCACTGCTTGTGAAGTTAGAGGTCAGCCAATGCAGGTGGCCTCTAAACTGATGGCCGACTCGAGTGTGGTGGTGGTGGTGGTGGTGGTGGTGGTGGTGATGGTGGCGGTGGTGGCGGCGGTGGCGGCGGCGGTGGTGGTGGTGGTGGTGGTGGTGGTGGTGGTGGTAAGAGGCAGGAACCAGCTGAGGCCCCTCTCTCTGCTATGGTCCCAGTCTCCACACAGGCCCGGTGCTGGGCCTGGCGCTGCCAGCCTCCTCCATACTGCCTGACTCCTCTGGGCACAGGAGGAGAATGCTCAGGGTGAAAGGCAGCAGGAGTTGTTCCCAGGAGAACCAGGCAGCCTTCCTCATTTTGGAAGGTGCTTGCACCCCCTGGAGGCAGCAGGCCTTCCCTGCAGGCCACTTATTTCAGAGAAATGGCTAACACCCTGCTATTTGCATGTGTTTGTTTCTTGTACTAGAATTCTTGTGGGGTAAACATATAGCAAGATATAAACCCCATAGAAAATAAACCTCTTATTTAAAAAGTAAATCATTTTCTGATGTGTTTTGATTTGTGCCATTTCTTAGGAGAAAGTAGTTTTTTTAAACCATTTTTGAATGGGGACTGAGGTGTCAGTGCATGCTGAGGAAAGGGTTGGGGTTCTTTAACTCCAACTCTTTCTTCCCCGACCATCTGTGCTTTCCCAGGGCAGGAGACAGGATGCCAGTGGCCTCTGCTGCCCTTGCTATTCTAAAGGGCCTGGACTAGGTGGCTATTTTTAGCATTGGCTGCACTGGTGAGCACGGCAGTGAATAGGCCCGTAGGCCAAGTGGCACTAATTCTATGGGGACCAGTAGGTGGAGATGGTGGAGATGGGCCCCATCCAGTGGGGGCCTCAGAGGAAGTTTTCCTTGTCCAGCGGTCTACCATGGATTGTATAACTTTCCTTTTTGAGCTGTGTCCTTTCCTTGCATGAAAGCTGTGTGGGTAACCAGGGCCCCCGAGTACGGCTGCTGGCTGTGTTGGGCTGTGGGGGCAGATGCAGGGGCACGGGAAGCAGGAGGGTGCTGGGAGGAGAGCTGGGCCTCCCCTCTGGGCTCCAGCCCTCTCTGAAGAGGGAGCACCTATGCGGGTCTCAGGTGCCTCCTTCACACTCCTCCTGGAGAGGTCCCCGGCCCTGCTTACAAGGTGGGGCTGAGCTGAGCCTCAGGACCCTGACAGCAAAGGCCACTTTTCCTTTCCTCTTCTAACTGCAGAGAGCCTGGCAGGGTGTGGCCTGGTGTGGGTCCTGGAACTCAGAGCCAATGAGGCAGGTCAGTGAGCCAGGACAAGTGGAACAGGGAAACCGAGACAGGCAGATGGACAAACCGGAAGAGCAACCACAGCCGATCAGAAGTCACCTGGAGATAACATCGGCTTCAGCTGTATTTCAGCTCCAGGCCCAGAGAAGCAGCAAACCCAGGTGGGTGGCACCAGGACCATCTGCAATGACTAAGGACCTCCTGTCCTGGCGCTGGGAGACCAGGACCCTGAAAGAACACCCCTGGAAAACTGGGGAGTATTCTGCTGACCATCCCCCCCGGGACTCCCCTAAGATTCCCAAAGCAACCAGACAGATGTGGGTTCACCTCTCGCCTACTCCCTACCCAGCTGCCCGAGACAGTGAACTCTGTTGTCAGGGAGCAGAGACATGGCTGACTGAAGCAGAAAGGGATATATTGAGAGGAGCCTGGGCTGCCCCCAAGGTTGGATAGGAAGGCTGGGGACCCAGGCTGGACCAGGGGCAGGGACAAAGAGCTACTCAGCAGGGCCAAGGCCATGGTCAGGCAGGAGGACGGCTGAGGATGCTGAGCAGCACAAATGTGCTGCTTTGCACACTGGGCATCTGGCCAGTGCTGCTCAGATTAAACATCCTACAAGGGCCTCTGATTGGCTCAGGAAGGACCATGAGCCTAAACTCAGCCGTCAGGGGGCTGGGAGAGTAGGCTTCTGGGTGTACAGCTTCAGAGTGGGGAGATGGTGCCAGCTCACATTGGCTGGGCACCAAATTAATTCCTTTAATCTCTGCCACTGTAGAGAGGAGCAAACGGAGGCCCAAGGAGGTGACGTAAATTGCCCGGAGTTGCCCAGCTGAGTCGTGGCTGGGCTGATGCGAACCTGGGTCCCAACCACGCACTGCTCGTCAGCGGTCTGTTTCCCACAGGCTCATCTGGGGAGAGATTCTCTGAACCCCAAAGGGGGTGCAAGTGCTGGGTGGCAAACCCGGACAAATGTGCGCTGTGCTGGATGGTGACCTCCTGCGGCTTCCTGAGCTCCGGGTCTCAGCTGACTCCGGTGCACATGCTGATGATGCTGGCCCAGGTGCTGTGACCTCGGGAGAGAGGACTGTGCACACCCCCGGCCTCAGAGCTGCTCTGCACCTCCCCCTGTTTAACACCCGCCAGAATCTCGTCACTTGTGAACCCCACAGCATCTAGCCCGACACCTTAAATGAAATAAACTGTCAATAAATGCCAGTAGCACGGAAATCCAAATGATATCGAAAGTAAAGCCCAACTTTTAACCACTAGTGATTACTAAGGCATGGTTACTGACTCAATTCTATAATTTATTTGCTCTTATATTATTTTTTGGAAAAATGATTGCTGCATTTGAAAATAATCTGATGAACTCATTATAAGGATTTAAGAAAAAAGAAAGGTATAGAGAAGAAACTTAAAATATCATCCTTGGTTCAACGACCTAGAAGAAATCATGTAGGTTTGAAGGAGGTGATCACCTGATAGTCGTATACATAGGGTGTCCCCAAAAATGTATACACACACTCTGAATAATGATAAAGGCAGTGTTTATTAAAATATATTTCATTTTCAAAATGGAGCTATCAGGTGTTAAAATGTGTATACATTTTTGGGGACATCCTGTATATATTCTGTGTGTGTGTGTGTGTGTGTGTGTGTGTGTGTGCGCATGCGCACCCATGTGTGACAGAGAGAACCCCTATAATGGAAGCCTATCAGGGGACCACACATACATCCTGGACATGAACAAGGTACTAAAATTCAACCATGCACTGAATCTCATTTGAATTTAGCAGAAGGAAAAGGAACTGGAGTGAACCTTTCCTCCCACCTGGACTTTCCTGTTCAGATAGGGATGGCTCTGTTTTCCAGTGGCAACTCCTCAGTATTGGTGGTGGCCCAGCAGTGGGCCCAGATTCCACAGCTCTGGAGTTGGGGGAAGGTGCTGGTGAGGTCAGGGTTGTGTTGCAGCCAGCCCAGTGCCCTAGGGATGTGGCCTGCGGCATCTGCTGCCCGGGTCAGCAGGCAGCCAGGCCAGAGGCTCCAGCACTCTCCTCACTCAGACGTCTTGGCCTGGCTGCCCCTCTTTGCCGGCCTCACCCCCTCCACGACTTTGGACAGAGTCCTAACAGCTTCTCACTTTTGGGTCCCTGGTGACTCCAGTAGGTTAGGGGTGCATGGCCCCTTATCTCACACGGGAGCCACCAGCTACAGATGTCTGTTGAGCACACTAGACAAGTGACACATGAGCATGGGAATGTGCTGTAAGATTTTAAAGACTTTGTATAAAACATCTCATTCATAATAATTTTTATATTGAGCATGTGTTGAAATGATACGACTATGAATATAGAGGGTTAAATAAGATATAATATTGCATCCACCCAGCAGCAAACTCCTCAGCACTGATTCGCCCGCTCAGTGTTTCACTAACTTACCAACTCTTCCCAGCACTGACAATGAGAAGCCCCGCAAACACCTGTCTTCACCCAGACAAGAGAGTAGCACCTTCTATACCCCAGGTTTCCAAACCGAGTCCCTGTGGGTACCAATGCTCCACAGAGGTGCTCAGGGACCCCCGAGCATGGGAGTGGATGGGATGCAGAGGGAAAGAGAACAAGATGTGGCTGGTAAGAGCTCAAAGGTGAAAATAAGTCTGGAAGCCGTCACCTAGCACCTCGCACAGAACCTGGGCATGCAGTCAGTCAGCCCCCTAATGGAACTGTGCTCAGCCCAGCCCAGCCCCCCGTGCCTCTCACCTGCATGGGCACGATCCTCAGGAATCTGGGCTGTCTTCAGGTGTGGGCCCCCAGACAGCACCTGCAGGTCAGCCCCAGCATCTCAGCCAGCGCCCCTTCAGAGGTCACCCTCGAATAACAGCTCTACAGATGGCTCAGTTTGGCAGCCACAGGGAGGCATAGTTATCCATGACCGGCTTCCTGCGGTCTGCAGCACAGGGGGCACCTTGGCGCGCAGGCCCGCTATGTCCCGGGCATGGAGAGGGCCTCACTCATGGGCACGGTGATGTCAGGCTCTCCTCCTACCTGTCCCAGGTCTCGCCAGTGCTGGCGCTCAGGGCCATCGGCGTGGGCATGGAGGCATATAAGGGACTTCTGCCCACCTGGTAGATGCCCACAGAGAGGGCCCCTCCAGCCGTGGGCTCCCTGATGACAGTGGCCTGCTGCAGGTCCTGCATGGTGTGAGCAAAAGCCTTCGTTGCTAACCTGCTGGTGTGGCTCATCAGGATGTGCAGGTCCTTGTGGGGCTGTAGCGCTGACCAGTCATCTGGGGGAGGCCCGCACCTCTGTGACCCTCGAGGTGGCCCTGCCAAAGACAGAGTAGAGGTACTGGCGGGCTCTGCCTCAGGAAAGTAGGAACAGAGCAGGGGCCCCTCTGTGGAGTAGCTGCCAGGGTTGTAGCGCAGATCGATGACCAGCACGGCTGGCCGTGTGCACCAGCCTCACCACACCAGCTGCGTCAGCTGCGGCCTGATGCCTTCATGGTCTCCAGCTCAGCCATGGCTCAAAGCGCAAGTAGCCCAGCGGGCTGGCAGCACCTCCTCTTGAACAGGGCCGGATGAGGTAGGAGGGCTCCTGGGGGAGGAGCTGGCAGGAGAGAGGACGCTTCCTCTGGTGCCAGCCTCTGAGGCTGTGCAGCACCAGAGCATGGTAGTCTCCAGACAGACACCTCTTACAGGTCAGCCGTGAGCTGGGAAGCCACGGACTCCAGGTCCATGGCTGTGCGGTAGGCCCTCTGGCCAACTTGGCTCATAGCAGGTCTCCTATCTGCCCGACAGGCTGTGCATAGTGAGCCTCCAGCAGACACGCGTGCCCTTTCCCAAGGCCCCAGGCCCCGGTGCAGCGCCAGCACCTCCTGGGCCCTGTGTAGGGCCTCCTTGGCCAGCCTGATGCCATCGGGGCCTCGCCGCGCCCCCGCCAGCGCTCGCTGCGCTTGTTGATGAGGGTGCGCAGGGCACCGTGAGCGCCAGGCCGCCCTCGGGTCTGCAGCAGGGGCAGTGCGCTGTGCAGCGGGGCTCGCGGTGACAGTGATCTCGCCCAGCAGCGTGGCCACCCCGGCGACTGCAGGACGGCCAGCTCCTCGGCGGCCCTGGCCTTGCGGTGGCTGGTGAGCAGCTATACCCCGGGAGTCCCCGGAGGGAGGCGGAAGTGCTCCCATGTGATGATGGTGCTGGGGCCCTGGGTGGTGAAGAGGCCCTGGGGAAGGGCAGCGGCAGGGCCCCGCGCAGGACAGCTCTCCGGGCGGGGTCCCTGTGCAGGTCCTCCATCAGGGGCTCCGCGGCCTGCAGAGCCCCCCACACCTGGCGCAGGACGCACGGCCCAGCGCCCCAGCACAGGTAGCCCTCATGGCCCGGCAGCATGGACCCCTGCAACCCGGAGTCCTCCAGGTCCTCCGGGAAACTTCCCCTCCGGCATCGCTGCGGGCAGCGCGGGGGCGGGGGGGAGCGGGCAGCCCCAGGCTCAGGCCCTGTGGAGGTGTTTGGGGCCCCATGGCCGCACCCGGAGCCTGGGGTCCTGGGGCACAGCCTGCAGACCGGCGCTGAGCAGCTCGGCCCTCGTGGGAGCCACAGTGGAGAAGTCCACGCGGTCGCAGGGCGGGCACACGGTCCCCAGCGCTAGTTCCCGCAGGGCCTCCTCTAGGGCCTGCCTGGCGGGCGTGTCCACACAGGCAGCACCCACTGCCTTCCCACAGCGGGCTGCCCCTACCCAGGGCCCCCGGGGCCAGGACACGGGCACCGCGAGGAGGAAATGGGGCTGCCCTAGCCTCTGCGTCAGGAGGCCCAGGCCCCGGTTCGCTCGCTCACCACGATGGCCCCGCGCCGCTGAGGATGTTCCCGGTGTCCGTTGGTGAGGACCACCACGTCCTTGTGGGTGCTATACCTGCTCCCCCCCCAGGACCTGGGGCAGGTCCCGATCTCGGTGGTTGTATTGGGGGGGGGGGGGTTATAGATGGTGTCCAGGTGCAGGGTAGGGTTTCCTGGGTGCAGGTAGGAGATGGTGTAGGGGATGCCAGAAATGTGGCCCCCCGTGCAGTGCCCTGAGCTCCCTCTGGACGCTGGCTGCCAGGAAGCCCCCGAGCTTGCTCACCACCTCCTGGCTGGGGATGTCGTCCACCCACAGGAGCCCATGTCGCCCTCCAGAACATCGTGGCAGATGCCCTCTGTAGCCGGACAAGCAGTTCCTCTGTGGGACTTGCCGTGGGCTCATAGGAGGTGACCAGGGGGGTCCTTCAAGGAGTTCTGCACTCCTGCCCGCCGTCAGGACGTGGGCCAGTGTCTGAGGGTCTGAGGTGCCCAGGTTCTCCCGACTCTTGATGGCCTGCCGATGGCTCCCTGCTTCCCCATCAGGCTCTCTGGGAAGCAGTAGTTACCCAGCAGGACCTTGGCCATGTCCAGCACCAGGCTGGGCAGGAAGAGGTGTGTGGGGCCAGCCAGGCCACAGAGCAGCTGGATAAGAGCAGGGCCCACCCCTCCTCATGGGGACCCAGAGGGGGGCCGGCTCCTGCACAGAGCTGCCTCCTGCACAGAGCTGCCTCCTGCCTTGACCCTTGCTGCCTGTGTGGCTGCCTTCCTTCCTCGGCCTTCTCAGCGGCAGACAGAATGTGGAGCTGAGGCTCAGCTTCCACCTTCAGTTCGCCTTTAATCCCAGTTAATTCGAGCTCCTCAGCCCCCAGCTGGCACAGGCTGGTTTGACCCAGAAGGTATGCTGAGTCTCATCTTGCTGTGTCACTTCTGTGCATAATCATGGGAATAACAACCATTTATTCTGAGTTCCTGTCACATACAGGCTCCATGCTGTATAGGCTGACAGTCTCCTTGCAAGTGCGGTCATTAACTTGCAAGTAAATAGCATTTCCCATTGCTTCTGGAACTAGGCAGAATTCGTTGGAGGCCTGGTTCTGCCGCTCTTCTCTGTGGCCTTACGTCTCACTTATTGTGTAATTAAGTGAGAAAATAGGTGTAAAGCGCTTCACAGTATCTAGCAAGAAGGAAGCACCTAGCTACTGATATGTTCTCCCTGTTAAATATTATCCCTGTTTTTTAGCTAAAGAAACAATTTAGTAGGTGGAGGTGGGGTGGAGAGAAAGCCTGGGGGTCATCGGCTCACACAGTGCAGAAACCGAGTCCAAGGCCCCCATCAACTTCAGAGCTTGAAGTTTATTCCTAGGCCCTGACAGCTTCCAAATGACAGGAGTGGCATGTCTGGATCTCAGTGTGGGGCTCGGTGAGTGAGGAGGGGACCTGTCTTCCGACATCACGGAACCAGGGATTCCAGGTCAGAGGGAGTTAGCTCTGAGGCCTGAGGAGCATCCATTCTCCTGTTGGCTGAGAGCTCGGCCCCAGCCGACTGCTCACCTGAGTAGGACTTGGATCCCTGTGGTCCCAGGGCCCAGAGGTAACCAGACCACTCCCTACCTGAATGGAGCACATGAGCCAGTCCCAGGTGATCAACTGCTAGACTGGGAGTTTCCCAGTTCCTGCTCCTTCACATGGAAGTGACGTGGGTCCTGTCTAGGACTGAGAACCCCTGCTTTTTCTCTGCATCCCTCCAGGGGTGGGCATTTCCCTCACTTCACAGATGAGACAACGATGGCTCAGAGAAAACCACCACCGAAAGCATGGGCACACAGCCAGGCAGAGCACTGGGGGAGTGGCCTGGCTCTGCTCCTGTCACTTGGCCCGTTATCTCCAGCACACATGTGGGCTGTGCAGCCAGCAGGCAGGCGCGCATGTGGGCCTCAGCAGGCAGCCGGAGGAGGCGGCTGTGGGGAGGGGTCGGGCTTTCTCAGCAAACTTGACAGCCACAATCTACTCTCTGGAAATCATTATCTGAGGATGTTTACCCAGTGGTTTATGAAGGCCAAAGCGGTCAATTAGCTAAAAGAAACATATTTTTAGCTCATTAGGATTTGTTTAATGCCCAAGTGACATATGGTCACACCACTCCACCATTTGCAGCCAATGAAGTGAGCCTGATTTATAATAATAGTAACGCCTCCTTAGTCCCTGCTGGGAAGACTGGTCCTCCCGCTCCCCCTCCACTTGGGGAATCCCAGCTCTGAGCATGCATTCTGGTCTTCTGAGGACACATTTCCACATTGCCTGAGCCCAGGCACAGCCTCCGGACCAGGAAGGGTGGGGGCGAAGAACTGGAAGAAGCCTCTTTCTGGGGAAAGTGCTTCCCCTGGACTCTTATTAAAATGCAGGCTCAACGTGGGGTGCCTGGAGCTTTGCTGCACCTGGATTTAGGTGTATGGCCCAGAGCCTCACAGAGGAGAAACTGGAGTTAGTTGTGAGTCGCTGGGGTGACTGAGTTAGAGAGAGCCTGCAGGAGGAGGCAACCTGCCCTCCTGGGGTGTGGCCTGAGCTCATTGGGAGGAAATTCTGTGCCCAGAGTTCTCCATACTCTCCAGGAGCGAGGGATGTCTGGCGCTGAGGATAGTGTGTTGGGTGCAAGTCTCAGAATGAAAGCAGGAGATGCTATGCATTTCCCCACCCAGGCCTACCTGCATGGCCTAGGGGCTACAGGGACTTGTGTGTGATCTTGGATGTTGAATTTGGACTGGGATGGAGTCGGAAGCCTCGGCCTCCCTTCCCTTGTACAGACAGCCACATGGGCAGAAGTGTCAAGAGGTGAGCTTAGGAATGCATCCAAAACCCTATGCCCTCTAGACTAGAGACCTAGATTAGGTGACATGACTGCTCTGTGCTTTGGCTTCCTCAAGGAGAACCTCACAGCACTGTGGCAACAGCATTCACAGGTAGCCTGGAGAATCTGAGAACTCAGTAGGAGTTGGTGCATGGCAGCCTGTGACCAGAGCTCCTCTGTGAAGTTGGGGAGAAATGCCCCAAGAGGCAGGGGCTTCACTTACAACCCTGAGGTACCAGGCTCCAAACCTTCCACAGACCTATGTATATCTGGAGAGTCTGTACACTTGGGAAATGCCCAGACTTGGGGTGCACTCCAGAGTGCATCCCACATTGACCCCGGCATAAGATTAAATGGCTCAGAAGGTGTGCTCTTGGGATAGTCAAATAAAGCATGCCTGACCCTGGGCAACCCAGGAAAAAGCAAGTCACCTGTTGCATCATGAATTCACTTTTGCAGTGGTCAGAGGCCTTCTTTCTGGCTATTTATCCACCCACTCACATTATCTATCTATCTATCTATCTATCTATCTATCTATCTATCTATCTATCATCTATCAATCATCTATCTATCTATCTATCTATCATTTTTTTAAAATATATTTTATTGATTTTTTACAGAGAGGAAAGGAGAGAGATAGAGAGTTAGAAACATCGATGAGAGAGAAACATCGATCAGCCGCCTCCTGCACATCCCCTACTGGGGATGTGCCCGCAACCCAGGTACATGCCCTTGACCGGAATCGAACCTGGGACCTTTCAGTCCACAGGCCGACGCTCTATCCACTGAGCCAAACCGGTTTTGGCCTATCTATCTATCATTTATCATCATCATCTATTCACCTCATGTTAGTTTTTCCCTAGAAGGTCATTGTGGACATTGTCAAGTGGTACAGCAAATATCTATGTGCTGTCTACCTAGATTCTACCACTGATGTTTTATTACTCTTTCTCCATCGTACTTTTGTCTCTTGGGCTCCTTCTCTAATCCTCAAGCCAACCTATTTTTTGGGTGCATTTCAAAGCAAGTTGAAACTTGTGTTTATTTTAATCCTTTTTCTTTTTAATTTTTAAAGAACAAAAGTAAAACTTATTTTTACAAGTTAAATAATTCATAAATATGTCAAAATTTTCCCCCAAAGACTTTCTAGCCCAGCAAATAGCAACAGATTAATGTGTTCATACATGGAAGCACATATGTAGAAAATCTACCTGCCCATCCATCCATGAATACCTACCCATCTGTCCATCTATCTCATGTCATTGCATAACAGTTTGAACAGTAATTTACATTTTGTTTTCATTTAGGCACACAGCAGAAACATCCTTCCAAGTTGAAGTATATGCATACAGTGTACCTTTTTAATGGCTGTGCAATCGTTCTTGATATTGTACTGATCCATCCCCCTGATGAAAGACACTTTAAGTTGTTTCTGTGGTTTTTCTTCTTTCAATCCTCACACAAGGACATGTTTTCATTAATTTTGGAGAGAAGAAGAGAGAGGAAGGGAGAGAGAGAAAGATCAATGGGGGAAAGAAACAATGATCCATTGCCTCCCATATGCGCCCTGACCCACAACCTAGGTGTGTATATGCCCTGACCTGGAATTGAACCTGACACCCTTTGGTGTACAGGATGATGCTTCAGCCAACCAAGTCACTCTGGCCAGGGCTCGTTGTTTCTGTTTTTGATTCTATAGCAACATGGTGATAGATGTTCTCAAATACATTGGCACTTCTGTTTCTGTAGAATAAATTTCCAAACCTGGGCTTGCTGAATCAAAGGGAGCACTTGTTTTATTTATTACTAGAGGCCAGGTGCATGAAATTCATGCACTGGGGGGTGGGGATCTCTCAGCCTAGCCTGCCCCCTCTCACAGTCTGGGAGCCCTCAGTGGATGTCCTACTGATAGCTTAGGCCTGCTCCCCATGGTGAACAGGGCTAAGCCACAGTCTGGCAGCAGAGGCTCGGAACAGGTGCCGTGTGTGTGTGTGTGTGTGTGTCCACTGGGGGCCTGCCCCCAGCCATACCATGGAAGCTTGGAGCAGGCGCCCCTCTGTTGATCTCTCAGGCTCCTGGCCGCACCTGTGTGTTGTTCTCTTCCTTGAGCAGCAGCCAGGGTAGGCTGAAAGCCTGGGTTGCCCTGGGTGACCCAGGCCCCCAGCCACTCCTTGAGCAGTGGCCAGGGCGGGCAGGAAGCTTGGTTTCCTCCACTGCCGGGGGCAACCCAAGCCTCCAGCTCTGTGGCCGCTGCCATCTTTGTTGGGTTAATTTGCATACTCGCCCTGATTGGCTGGTAGGTGTAGTGGAGTGACACTAATTTGCATGTTTCTCTTTTATTGGTGTAGCTATTTTTCAGTAACTTGTAAATTATATAATAAATGTATACTTTCTCTGTTGTTGTTCTTACAACTTGATGTATAATAAGCTGCCCATTTTGAAGTGTAGAATTTGGCCAGTTTTGACATATGTTATACACCCATGAAACTATCACCACAATCATGATAACATACCTTGTCCTCATCCCCAAATTTTCCTCATGTCCCTTTGCATCTCCATCTCCAAACACTATAGATTAGTTTATATTTTCTAGAATTTTATATAAATGGAACTATACAATATATACTAATTTTTGTCTGTCTTTTTTTATTCATGTCTTTTACTTCAAGGATTTTGAGATTCACTGATGTGTCAAGTGTGCCATTAATTCCTTTATTTATTTATTTATTTACTTACTTATTTTTGTGGAGTAGTAGTTCATTCTATAGATATACCACAATTTGTTATTCACTCATGTTTTGATAGACTTACACATGAATGACTCTTACAATAAGCTGCTGTGAAAGTGTATCAGCCTTTGTGTGGACATAGGCTTTTATTTTTGGTAGGACAGGACTGCATGCCTAATGTCCTAAGAGACTACCTAACTGTTTTCTAAAATTTAAATTTCTACTAATCATATGTGAGTCTTTCAGTTTTTCCACATCAATACCAACAATTGATATAGTCAGACTTTTTATTTTAGCCATTCAAATAGGCATATAGTGGCTTCTCACTGTGATTTTAATTTGTATTTCCTTGATGACTTACGGTGTTGAGCATCTTTTTATATATAAGGTGTCCCCAAAAATGTTTACACACTTTAACAGCTGATAGCTCAATTTTGAAAAAGAAATGTATTTTAATAAACATTGTCTTTATAATTATTCAAAGTGTCCGTATACATTTTGGGGGAACACCCTATATTTATTGGCCATTTGTATATATTCTATGGTAAAATGTCTGGGGAGGGGAGTTTTTCTCTTATTATTAATAAAGTATGAGTTATTTTTATATTATGGAGATGAGTCTTTTGCCTAATACATGTATTGCATATATACCAATCTGTGGCATGTCTTTTCATGCTCTTAATGAATTTAATTCCAATTTATCAATTTTTCCTTTATAATTTATATTTTTGTCCCATATCTAATAAATCTTTGTCTATCTCAAGGCTACAAAGCTTGTCTTTAATGTCTTTTTCTAGAAGCCCTATAGCCGGGGTGGGGGACCTCTGGCCCATGGGCCGTATAAGGCTCAAGAAATCATTTGGTCTGGCCTTACCAAGGCCTTAGGGGTGGTTTAATTAAATGTTTGACCAAATATTCCTGCTAATTTTTAAGTTGATAATTTTGTAAGGTCTGAGAATGATGTTGTAAATATCCAAATGACCCTTGGCAGAAAAAAGGTTTCCCACCCCTGCCCCATAGTTTTAGGTTTCACATATATAATCCATTTTGAGTTAACTTTTGTGTATGGTGTGAAGTAGAAGGTCAGGGGTTATTTTTTTCCATGGGACTATCCAGTTGATCCAGCACTAATTGTTGAAAAGATTTCCACTGAATTGCCTTGGCATTTGGTCAAAAAGTGATTAACCACATACATGTGGGTCTATTTCTGTACTCTCTGTTCTGTTACATTCATCTATTTGTTTGTCTTTTCACCAATACCATACTGTTTTGGTCACTACAGTTTATAGTACGTCTTGAAATCATGTAGTGTGAGTCTTCCAACTTTGTTATTCTTCATCAAAATTATTTTGACTTTTCTAGTTCCTTTGATTATCCATATAAATTTGAGATTCAGATAAAGGATTTTAGAATCAAACAATTGATTAAGATTGTGTTGAATCTATAGATCAGCTTGGAAAACAATTCATAATTTGTCTTCCAATTCATAAATATGGTATATCTCTTTATTATTTAAGTCTTCTCTGATTTATTAATGTTGTATGGTTTCAGTCTATGTATCATGTAATATTTTGTTAAATGTATAAGTATTTCTTGCATTTTTGGGTGCTATTGTAAATGATAGTTTTTCTTTAAATTTTCACTTGCAGTTACTCATTTTGTATTAATCTTATATCCTGCAATAGGGTTAAATTTATTTATTCATCCTAGCATGTTTTTGGAGATTCCTAAGAATTTTCTAAGGCGGTATTCATATTGCATTTCTCTATTTCTCATTCACAGACTGCACTTCTAGTCCTTGCCTTGTTGCACTCATTAGGAACTCTGGTGCCGGGTCCTGATTTTAGGGGAAGATTCAGTCTTTCTTCATTAAGTATGATGTCAGCTATAGATTGCTTGTTTTTCCATTAGATGCTCTTTTTCAGTTTAAGAAAAGTATCATCTATTCATAGTTGTTTTTGGAATGAATATTATTGTCAAATGCATCCATTGAGATGATCATATGTGTTTCTTCTCTAGTTTGTTAAGATGGTTGATTACATTGATTGGCTTCCTACTTTTTAACCAGCCTTGCATTTGTGTGGTAGATCTCACTTGGTCATGATGTATTATCCTTTTGTTATGTTGTTGGATT